CTCACTCACTCACTCACACTCACTCACTCACTCACATTCACTCACTCACACTCACTCACACTCGCTCACATTCACTCACTCACTCACTCACTCGCACTCACACTCCCTCACTCACATTCACTCACTCACACTCACTCACTCACTCACTCACGTGCGGATGGTATCAGTAGCGCTGATGAACTTGCTGTAGTTCTCGTAAACCAGCATCTGCATGTCACTGTCCAGGTTCTTGATTTCTGCCGCCCATGACACGTGCTTCTGTAGCAAATCATCCAGCTTGGCTTGCCGGATCTGAGTGGGTGAGGGGACGAACACCAGGCAAGCGGGAATGACAAGGGAGGAAAAAGATATCACTGCAGCAGCAGCCGCAGCCGCAGCAGCAGCCGCAGCCGCAGCCGCAGCCGCAGCCGCAGCCGCAGCCGCAGCAGCAAACACAACGGCAGGGGCATCTGCATGTCACTGTCCAGGTTCTTTATCTCTGCTGCCCATGACACGTGCTTCTGCAGCAGATCATCTAGCTTGGCTTGCTGGATCTGAGAGGTGGAATATCAGAGATATGGGAAGAGGGAATCTGAGCGAAGAAGAGAGATGAAAGCAGCCTTGGCAAACTCGTCGGACGTGCTGTGCTTCTGCAGCAAATCGATCCGCTTGGCTTCCCGGACCTGAGTGGGAAGATTGAATTCGTCGGAGGAATGTATGTAAGAAAGGAGGGGATCAATGAGCGGACACGAGAGAAGGAAGATTATCACAGCTCTCGTACGTTCCGCTGCTATTGACGCACCAAGTTTGCTACAAACGAGTCCGCGTCAAACGCTCGCGAATTGATGTCGTCGCGACCCCCCGAACTTCCCGCCGCCGATCCCGACGCGTCTTCCGCTCCCGGAGCTCCACCCCCGTGCCCGTAATACCCTTCTAATAGGCTCTTAACGCGCCTCGCGCGGTCCTCCGGGGCGCCGCCACCATTCCCGCCGGAAATTCCGCGAGAAGTTGGGCCGAGGGCGGGAGAGAAGCTGCCACCAGCTGATGAAATCGAATCTCCCGAAGCGCCGGTTACTGACGTGTAACGCACGCCGCGACCCGCGGGAGCGTCCATTGGGATCAACGCGCCTGGAACGAGCCGCTCAGGCGCAACGGGAAACAGGAACTGAACACGCGGCGACTTTTGAGTCGACTCAAAAGTCACCTCAGGCGCAATGGAAAACGAGAACCCGCGGCACGCCACAGCGGTGAGCTTGAAAGCTTCTTGATTAGATTTCAGGTATAGCATTCAGACTGACTGAACAACGGCTAGTTCGTGGATCTCTATGTAGGCCTAAATTAGCAGACTCGTTATTCGAAACCTTTTAAACCTAAATACACTTGTTCGTTTCAGTTCTTCTATAATGGGGTTCAATATGTGCAGTTTGGAGGCAGCATAGAGCGTTAAATTTTTTCTTATTCAAACCATGGATCAGCATAATTATTATGTCCTCTACCACTCATGCTATAGTTGCCTCTGATTTGTCCATCCTCAACCCAACATGTTCTTTTCTTTCACGGTACTACCGGTACCGTATATAGCATGGAGCTGAATGAAGCGAACCATATTGTGTAGCTATACATACAAACCATACACAATACTAGCCTAAACCATACACAATACTTTGTAATCGACGAACAAAATGCCAAAAGGCAGGTTATGCGTAACATATTAATAACAGCGCTGTTAGGTTCAGTCGTTACAGCATCATAATGACTTCCACTTCTTTGGAGTTGAGTGGCTCCGATTCGACATTAGACTGCTTATATCGAAGCATGCAGAACCCGACTTGGTCCCAGGCGAAATCAATAGCATAAGCTAGAGTGAAGAGACCAATCATAACTGCGAATGCAATGTAATACCACTGCATACAATCCAGTATAGGATGAAAGGGGGGAGAATGAGAGAAGTGGAGGGCGGAGGGGGAGGAGAGGGGGGCGGGGGAGATAGGGAACACGAAGGAAAGGTTGATGTTAAGTTCCTATTATGACCGTAGCCAGTGTACAAAGGCCGAACTACATAACCGGGTGGGGAGCAAGTTCAAAAGTGGGACCTAAAAGAACAGGGAAGAAAATGGAGAAAAAGGCAGTGACATTTAAGTCAAGATGGTGCATAAAAATGCGTTTTCTTGAATATCCCAAGGAGATCATAATCCGCATCGCAATCATAGACATGCATGACCACAGACAATACATTCAAACAGCAGAAGAAACTAGACGAAACTCAAAGCGTGAGCCAAGAAAGGTTGTAACTTGTGGCCAAGGGCAGCGATGCAGCTTTCTTCTTACTACGAAAGAACGACAGAAAGAAAATGGTTGCTAGACTCACATCAAAGCTGTATGCATTGAGGTGGTTTTTGAGGCGCCTCAAAAACCAGAAAATGGTAGCTAGACTCACATCAAGGCTGTAGCCAAATTGGCTCCAGGGTTGAGCTTGCAAGGTCGTGCCCAAGAAACATGTTGCTCCAAGCCATTCAATGAGTAGACCCACAAACCGAATCTCAATCAGAACAAAAAAGTGGTTTGCCAGACTCACTTCAAGGTTGTAGCCGAATCGGCTGCTTGCAAGGTCGAGCCCAAGAAACATGTTGCTCCAAGCCATTGCCACAATCAGGATTCAAGTCACATCACCACACACCATAGCCACAGCCACACACCATAGCCACAGCCACACACCATAGCCACAACCACACACCATAGCCACAGCCACACACCATAGCCACAGCCACACACCATAGCCACAGCCACACACCATAGCCACAACCACACACCATAGCCACAGCCACACACCATAGCCACAGCCACACACCATAGCCACAGCCACACACCATAGCCACAGCCACACACCATAGCCACAGCCACACACCATAGCCACAGCCACACACCATAGCCACAGCCACACACCATAGCCACAGCCACACACCATAGCCACAGCCACACACCATAGCCACAGCCACACACCATAGCCACAGCCACACACCATAGCCACAGCCGCACACCATGCATGCAGCCGCTCACCTCAAGGTTGTAACCAAATCTGCTGCTTGCGAGGTCGAGCCCAAGGAACATGTTGCTCCACGCCATTCAATGAGTAGACCCACAAACCGAATCTCACACAGAACAAAAAAGGGGGTTGCGAGACTCACTTCAAGGTTGTAGCCGAATCTGCTGCTTGCGAGGTCGAGCCCAAGGAACATGTTGCTCCACGCCATTGCCACAATCGCCACCCCCACCACCCAATGAAGCGCGAACCAATAGCGTCGCGACACGTGGCCCTTGACCGGCCTCAGCTGGCCTAGGATTGGCTGGAGCACGATCAGCAGCAGCACGGCCAATCCCAGCCTGCCATGTGTCGACTGCAGGGAGCTCGATCCTTTTTTTATGAACGCCATGATGATTCCGACCAATGAGAGCGTGACAGCGAGGAGCATGATCCACTTGTGGGCCTCAAATGCATGTGCCTTGGAAATCCAAGGCTTGCCCCTGCTTGCAGTAGTACCAGTACCAGGCATCCCACTTTCTGCTGCTGCTTCTCCTACTGCTGCTCCTGCTGCTGCTGATGCTTTTCCTGCTTCCCCTGAGGCATACTGTGCTGCATCTCTAGCTGATTTCAAATGCATATGCTCAAAATCCCTTTCTTCGTGCAAAGTTGACTGAGCTGGAAACCCTAATCTCCCTCCCATTGCGTCTGCTTCCCGTGCTTCTGTTTCGGCCTGTGCAGCTGCAGCAGCAGGGTCTGAAAAAGGCTTGTCTGAGAGGAATATCCTTGATATAAGCATGGCAGAAGGCATGAGAATGCCAAAAGCAACAGTGAGAATCCACCCGTGCGCCATATAGAGCGCTTCGGCGCTGCTGCTTGATTCCTCAACCTCCACTGTGCCTGAAACAAAGTTGATTGTAACAGAGCCTCTGTTTGTAATGCAGGGGAATGGGATGGGATGAGATGGGGTGGGGAGGGATGCGGTGAGGTGAGGTGCGGTTGGAAGAGGGGAGAAGAGAGATGAGCAAGAGTGTTAATTGTCAGTGGAATTTGGGAAAGAGTGCTTCCTTCCTGCACAATCATCAACCCCTGGCCCTCCCCCCACCCATGATACGCACTTGCTCTCGCATGCTAGCCCATGAAGGTGGCCCCCCAATCCTGCACACAACATGGCTGCCATGCCTGCCCACTCACTCGTTGGGGCCGTGGTCGTCCAGTTGCTGCGAGTCGGAGCGAGGGAAGGCCCAGAGAATGTTAGTGCTCACCCTTTAAAGCCCCATGTCCCCCCCTTACAGCCCTGCGCACTCACTCGTTGGGGCCGTGGTCGTCCAGTTGCTGCGAGTCGGAGCGAGGGAAGGCCCAGAGAATGTTAGTGCTCACCCTTTAAAGCCCCATGTCCCCCCCTTACAGCCCTGCGCACTCACTCGTTGGGGCCGTGGTCGTCCAGTTGCTGCGAGTCGGAGCGAGGGAAGGCCCAGAGAATGTTAGTGCTCACCCTTTAAAGCCCCATGTCCCCCCCTTACAGCCCTGCGCACTCACTCGTTGGGGCCGTGGTCGTCCAGTTGCTGCGAGTCGGAGCGAGGGAAGGCCCAGAGAATGTTAGTGCTCACCCTTTAAAGCCCCATGTCCCCCCCTTACAGCCCTGCGCACTCACTCGTTGGGGCCGTGGTCGTCCAGTTGCTGCGAGTCGGAGCGAGGGAAGGCCCAGAGAATGTTAGTGCTCACCCTTTAAAGCCCCATGTCCCCCCCTTACAGCCCTGCGCACTCACTCGTTGGGGCCGTGGTCGTCCAGTTGCTGCGAGTCGGAGCGAGGGAAGGCCCAGAGAATGTTAGTGCTCACCCTTTAAAGCCCCATGTCCCCCCCTTACAGCCCTGCGCACTCACTCGTTGGGGCCGCGGTCGTCCAGTTGCTGCGAGTCGGAGCGAGAGAAGGCCCAGAGCACCCAAGCCCAACCAAACCATACTATAGCACTACCTTCTTCCCCCCTTAAAGCCTGCCCACTCACTCGTTGGGGCCGTGGTCGTCCAGTTGCTGCGAGTCGGAGCGAGAGAAGGCGAAGAGCACGCTTGTGGCGCCGCTGCTGCTGATGGGGACCGCTCCCACCGACAGGGGGCGCTCAAAGCTGAGTGGGGGGCGGGATGGAGGATGGGGGAAAAGGGTTGTGGGTAGAGGCAGATACGGGATACAGGTGAAGATACGGGTGAAGGGGAGGAGAGCCAAGGGCCAGAGCACGCTGGTGGCGCCGCTGCTGCTGATGGGGACCGCTCCCACCGACAGGGGGCGCTCGAAGCTGCAGTTGCGTTGCGGGTGAGGTGAAGCAAGGGGGGGACAAAAAGTAGGCAGAGTTGGACGGGAGGGAGGTAAGGCGAGAGAAGGCCCAGAGCACGCTGGTGGCGCCGCTGCTGCTGATGGGGACCGCTCCCACTGAGAGGGGCCGTTTAAAGCTGCAGGAATAGGGGTTGTGGGTAAAGGACGATACGGGACACGGGTTAAGGGGAGGATGGGAGACAAGGCCCACAGCAAGCAGGTGGCGCCATTGGTGCTGATGGGGCGGACATTTACCAAAGATGCTTTCGCCAGAAGTTTTGGGCATCCATGTCAGGAGTGGGATTTGAACCCACGCCCTTTCGGACCAGTACCTGAAACTGGCGCCTTAGACCGCTCGGCCATCCTGACAAGTTTGGGATCAATCGATTAAACAATTGTAATTAGCTGATCGGGTTTTCTTTTTCAGGTAATCGGTGCTCTTTCGTTGTTGTGCAGGAGTTGGGTCTAGAGTAGATGCAAGGTAAAACCTTACCCGACCACTCAGGTTGGATAGGGAAATCCTGAGAACTCTCCACACCTTACTCACGTGATTGTTGTTCTCCCATTTGCCGTGGTGGTCGTCGTGTTGGTCAGCTCGAACGATGACGTCAGCGCCACGTCAGACAGGCCGTAGCCGCTCATGTGATAGGCTCCCACCGCCGCCCCGTTGGCGAGAGTGCCAGGTGGCAGATTCCCAATGGCTGCGTCAGCGGGGTACATCTTGCCGCTGCTGGACCATCCGACCGCCACCCAACCTGACGTTGCCACGTCAGCAGCCATCGCTATCGTATCAGCCCCGGTTTTCCAGTGGAGGATGAAACTGAGAAGGGGGAAGGAGGTGGTGGGGGGAGGGAAGTGATTGGGGAGTCGAAGGTTGGGACAGGCCGACGAGACGACTGCAACAGTCACTTCTCAGAGGCATTTATCTATGAATGCCTCTGAGAAGTGACTGTTGCAGTCGTCTCAGAAGTTTGCGAAAAGTATGAAAAGTTTGAGAAAGGATGAAAAGTTTGAGAAAGGATGAAAAGTCACAGCAGTCGGCGGGTGCGTGTCACCCTTAATTCAGAGACACCCTTGGAGAGGCATTTTATGTCAAAAGTCACTCAGAAGGTGTGGGCGGAATTTTAACCCTTTCCCATTCAATTCGTTCCGTGCCCACTCTATTTACTCCCGCCCCGCCCCTCCCAACTTCACCCCTGCCCCACTCTCTCAACTTTTACTGCTCTCTTCCCCATCCTCTCCTCTTCCCCGCATTGCAACGAAGTCTTCCTTGCACTCACTCATTGCATCTAATATATTTCATACCATCTGCACGCATTTATGCACTTTGACTCCTCACATGCAATCATTGCATCTAAGTCTGGGCATCTAGCACAGTTTATACCATCTGCACTCACTCTCTCCCCTGTTCCCCGTCCCCACTCACTCATTGTCTTTGAGTCGAATGGAGCACGCATAGCCAGGCAGGGGCGATGGCTCACATGCCACGTTTCCCCTGCCACTGCCGCTGCCACTGTCACTGTCAGAAGAGACTGCTGACGTGGATGCCAATGACTGGTTCCCTCCGTCGTCCTCCTTATAAGCATCATCGTCATCATCACCATCATTATCCACCTCCCCAAACCTATCATCATATTGATCCGCATCATCATCATCATCCCCACTCTCAACGTCTTCCTTATCACCATCACCATCACCATCACCATCACCATTTGAGGAGCCATTACCCCCCTTCCCGTATCTCTCATCCTCATCATCATCATCATCATCATCATCGTTATCCCCATCATTATCCCCATCCTCTCCACTCTTGATATCATCATTATCATTACCATCATCCATAACATCATTCTCATCATCATCATCATCTTTATCATTATGCCCCTCCTTCCATCGCCCGAAATCCCTCTCGTCCCCCTCCTCGTTATCATCACCACCATCATCACCCCCCCTCTCAAAATCACCCTCATCCCTATCGTCATTATCATATGCATCATCATCACCATCACCACCACCCATGCCAGCATCAATGTCACCAATGCCATCACCACCACCACCACCATCACCACCACCTCCTCCTCCTTGTGAGCTGGAAGGTGCAGACGCACATGAGAAGTCCACATTCATTGAACCTCTGAGCAACATGATGGAAGAGACGGGAAGAAACGTCAGAATGGGATTAGGTTTCTCATTTATCACCTACTGAGCTAGAGGGTGCGCAGCCCCACAGGAGAGGTCCAGATTCATCGAACCTCACTCAACCACTGACCACATGGTTCACTCACTCACACACTCTCACACACTCACTCACTCACTCACTCACTCAACCACTGACTCCTTCACGCACGCGTTGTCTCCATGGAAAGCCAGCTCGGTCGATCCAAACTCAGAGAAAGCCCAGATGATGCTGCTGCTGCTGCTGCTGAAACCCACCGATATCGTCTCCACGCTCTTTCACTCGCTCACTCACTCTCACTCAACTACTCGCTCCCACTCAACTACTCGCTCTCGCTCACTCACTCAAACACTGATTCCTTCACTCACGCGTTGTCGCCATGGAAAGCCAGGTCTGTCGATCCAGACTCAGAAAAGGCCCAGATGAGGCTGCTGCTGCCACTGAAGGTCACTGGTACCGCCCCTCTGTCCCCTCGAGAACGAGAGAACCTGCAAGCAGGAAAGAATGGGTGGGAGGGAGGACAGGGAGAAAGGGCAGATGAGGCTGCTGCTGCCACTGAAGCTCACTGGTACCGCCCCTCCGTCCCGTCGAGAACGAGAGAACCTGCAGAGAGGAGAGAGGGTGTTGTTATCAGGAGGGCGTGGGTGGGTGTACGGAGGGAGAAAGCCCAGACGATGCTGCTGCTGCCACTGAAGGTCACTGGTACCGCCCCTCCGTCTCCTCGAAAACGAGAGAACCTGCAGAGAGGAGAGAGGGTGTTGTTATCAGGAGGGCGTGGGTGGGTGTACGGAGGGAGAAAGCCCAGACGATGCTGCTGCTGCCACTGAAGGTCACTGGTACCGCCCCTCCGTCTCCTCGAAAACGAGAGAACCTGCAGAGAGGAGAGAGGGTGTTGTTATCAGGAGGGCGTGGGTGGGTGTACGGAGGGAGAAAGCCCAGACGATGCTGCTGCTGCCACTGAAGCTCACTGGTACCGCCCCTCCATCCCCTCGAAAACGAGAGAATCTGTAGGAAGGGGGGATTGGAGGGAGGGGGTTGAGGAGAAGAGAGGGTGGGAAGAGGGGGAGAAAGGCTTGATGATGCTGTTGCTGCCATTGAAACTTTCTGACATGCAGGCAAGAGAGGGACAACCCCAGATAATGATGCTCCTACTGCCGCTCATGCAAAAGAACTGTTATCTCGAGACGTGTCAAATCGACAATCCTTTCACATGACATGCAGGCAAGAGATGGGAAACCCCAAATCATGATGCTCCTACTGCCGCTCATGCTCACTGTGACCTCCCGTTCGTCTCACCTCATAATCCTCCCGCCATTGCTTTCGACGCGCCCTCTCGACTCGACTCCATGATCTGCTGTCTTCTCACCTTACAATCCTCCAGCCATTACTTTAGTTTTTGAGAATTCTCAAATCCCGCCATTATTCTCAACGCCCCCTCTCTCGACTCGACTTCATGATCTGTTGTCTTCTCACCTTACAATTCCCCCCGCCGTTAAAACCGGAGTCTCACAGGTTTCGAAGCTAGGAAGGTTGAGGCAGTTTTGGGCTGTTTGGGACTCCAATTTTGATCTCGACGCGCAATTAAAGCCCTCTTTCTGCTTTCAGGATTTCACTTGCTTTCTCACCTTATGATTGTCCCACCATTGCTTCCCCCTGACAGCACAGGCCTTCCAATCTTGAACCTATTGGAAGGCGCCACGTCAGACCGGCTGTACCCAGAGATTCGATACGCGCGCACGCTGCTTCCCGGAAGGTTCCCGATAACGCAATCCGCGGGGTACATACGGCCACGGTTTGCCGTCCAGCCGACAGAGAACCAGCCGGACTCGGCCCCACTGGCGGGTTTGGCTTCTAGTGCGAACTGCAGGTGAGAGACGTTGCGGGTCCAATGCAGCACGAGACTGGGGGCGGGGCGGGTTGGGGGAGGCGGGAGAGCGGAGAGGACGGTGTCACCCATAGTCACTAATGACCGCCACCGAACTCGTGCGTCGGTGCCGAGTAGACTCAGTCGTTAGGCGCCGACCTGCCAAGTCAAAGGTCATGGAGGGCCCTTGCTGTCGTAGGGCCCTCTAACACTCCCCTGCCATACTACAGCAAGGCCCTTTATAATCACAGGGCAGGCATACACACATACACACCAAAACAAAGGGATACACACAAACGAAACACGCTCAAAGTGTAAACACGCACCGCACCAGCCATGGATAGGCCATGGCACCATCCACATCATGGAGTGTCTAGGTCTCACTCCCCTCGCTCGAGAGCCGCACCTGCCCCACAGCCTCGAAGCAACGACTGAAGGCGGGGAAATGCAATGCCTTTGTGAGGTAGTCAGCAGGCTGCTCGCTCGTAGGGATGTACTGCAGCTGCAGCTTCCTGCGCTTGACCATGTGCTGCAGCCACATGTGACGACGCTCCATGTGCTTGAGGCTCCCCTTGAGCCCCATGCCACCTGCCACTAAAATGGCGGAGGAGTTGTCCACAAAGAGAGTCGTGGGCTCCTCACTCCTCAGCAGTTGAAACTCTGCCAGCAGGAAGCGCAGCCTGCGCGCCTCCTTCCCAGCCTCCACAGCAGCAACGTACTCAGACTCAGTGGAGGAAAGGGTGGCGCAACGAATCCGCTGGCTCGCCCATGAGACAGCAGCACCCCCGAGCACGAAGACATAGCCACCTGTGCTGGTCCTGTTCTGCTTGTCCCCTGCATCATCAGCATCGGCGTAGCCCACCAGCTCCAAGGACTCCGGCCCACCACCAAACTCCAGCGCCACATCCCTGCTCCCCACCAAGTACGTCAAGCACCGGTCCAACTCCTTCCAGTGCTGATCACTCCGCACAGTCTGGCCCGACCCCAGCTTGCTGCAGGCGAACGAGATGTCGGGACGGGTGGTACAGGCCGCGAACTGCAAGGATCCCACCTTCTGCCTGTACTCCTCCTCCTGGCGAGACTGCCATCCCACATCCTCGAAGGTCTGCACACTGTAAGGGTCAGAGGAAAGAGGGGTGCGAGGCACTCACAGCGGCTGCTCCCCGTCAAAGAAGCGCCTATGGACCTTGTCCACATAGGCCCCCTGGTGCAGCCACAGCCTCCTCGTGGGCCTGTCCCGAATCAGCTGCAACCCCAGATATTTCTCCACAGGGCTAATCTCCCGCAGCTGAAAGGCACTCTGCAGCAGGTCACGCAGCTCCGCTAGCATGCTCTGACTGCGGCTGGCAGCAAGCAGGTCATCCACATACACCAGCAGCCAGCACATCTCCCCCTCAGCATCAGTCTTGAAGTACAGAGCCTCATCCACCTTGCTCTTCTTCCATCCAGCCCCAAGCAGCACCCCATCCAAGGCCTCATACCATAGCATCGGGCTCTGCTTGAGCCCATACAGACTCTTCACCAACTTACAGACACGAGGAGTCCCATCCTCGTAGTAGCTCGGCTGCTCCATGTAAAGGTCTTGGTCCAGCACGCCATGGAGGAACGTGTTCTTCACATCGAGCTGCATCAGGTCCAAATCAAGTGCAGCTGCAATCGCCAGAAGCACACGCGCCGTCACATAGCTTCCCACAGGGGCGTACGTCTCCTCATAGTCCACCCCTGCCACCTGCGTGAACCCCTTCACCACCAGCCTCACCTTCTCACGCTCCACTATCCCATCAGGTCGGAACTTGGTGTTCAAAATCCAGCGGTTCTTCATCACATTCACCCTTGGCGGACGCGGAACCAACTCCCACGTCCCCTGCTCAATCAAGCTCCGCATCTCCTGCAGCAACGTACTCAGACTCAGTGGAGGAAAGGGTGGCGCAACGAATCCGCTGGCTCGCCCATGAGACAGCAGCACCCCCGAGCACGAAGACATAGCCACCTGTGCTGGTCCTGTTCTGCTTGTCCCCTGCATCATCAGCATCGGCGTAGCCCACCAGCTCCAAGGACTCCGGCCCACCACCAAACTCCAGCGCCACATCCCTGCTCCCCACCAAGTACGTCAAGCACCGGTCCAACTCCTTCCAGTGCTGATCACTCCGCACAGTCTGGCCCGACCCCAGCTTGCTGCAGGCGAACGAGATGCCGGGACGGGTGGTACAGGCCGCGAACTGCAAGGATCCCACCTTCTGCCTGTACTCCTCCTCCTGGCGAGACTGCCATCCCACATCCTCGAAGGTCTGCACACTGAAAGGGTCAGAGGAAAGAGGGGTGCGAGGCACTCGCAGCGGCTGCTCCCCGTCAAAGAAGCGCCTATGGACCTTGTCCACATAGGCCCCCTGGTGTAGCCACAGCCTCCTCGTGGGCCTGTCCCGAATCAGCTGCAACCCCAGATATTTCTCCACAGGGCTAATCTCCCGCAGCTAAAAGGCACTCTGCAGCAGGTCACGCAGCTCCGCTAGCATGCTCTGACTGCGGCTGGCAGCAAGCAGGTCATCCACATACACCAGCAGCCAGCACATCTCCCCCTCAGCATCAGTCTTGAAGTACAGAGCCTCATCCACCTTGCTCTTCTTCCATCCAGCCCCAAGCAGCACCCCATCCAAGGCCTCATACCATAGCATCGGGCTCTGCTTGAGCCCATACAGACTCTTCACCAACTTACAGACACGAGGAGTCCCATCCTCGTAGTAGCTCGGCTGCTCCATGTAAAGGTCTCGGTCCAGCACGCCATGGAGGAACGCGTTCTTCACATCGAGCTGCATCAGGTCCAAATCAAGTGCAGCTGCAATCGCCAGAAGCACACGCGCCGTCACATAGCTTCCCACAGGGGCGTACGTCTCCTCATAGTCCACCCCTGCCACCTGCGTGAACCCCTTCACCACCAGCCTCACCTTCTCACGCTCCACTATCCCATCAGGTCGGAACTTGGTGTTCAAAATCCAGCGGTTCTTCATCACATTCACCCTTGGCGGACGCGGAACCAACTCCCACGTCCCCTGCTCAATCAAGCTCCGCATCTCCTGCAGCAACGTACTCAGACTCAGTGGAGGAAAGGGTGGCGCAACGAATCCGCTGGCTCGCCCATGAGACAGCAGCACCCCCGAGCACGAAGACATAGCCACCTGTGCTGGTCCTGTTCTGCTTGTCCCCTGCATCATCAGCATCGGCGTAGCCCACCAGCTCCAAGGACTCCGGCCCACCACCAAACTCCAGCGCCACATCCCTGCTCCCCACCAAGTACGTCAAGCACCGGTCCAACTCCTTCCAGTGCTGATCACTCCGCACAGTCTGGCCCGACCCCAGCTTGCTGCAGGCGAACGAGATGTCGGGACGGGTGGTACAGGCCGCGAACTGCAAGGATCCCACCTTCTGCCTGTACTCCTCCTCCTGGCGAGACTGCCATCCCACATCCTCGAAGGTCTGCACACTGAAAGGGTCAGAGGAAAGAGGGGTGCGAGGCACTCGCAGCGGCTGCTCCCCGTCAAAGAAGCGCCTATGGACCTTGTCCACATAGGCCCCCTGGTGCAGCCACAGCCTCCTCGTGGGCCTGTCCCGAATCAGCTGCAACCCCAGATATTTCTCCACAGGGCTAATCTCCCGCAGCTAAAAGGCACTCTGCAGCAGGTCACGCAGCTCCGCTAGCATGCTCTGACTGCGGCTGGCAGCAAGCAGGTCATCCACATACACCAGCAGCCAGCACATCTCCCCCTCAGCATCAGTCTTGAAGTACAGAGCCTCATCCACCTTGCTCTTCTTCCATCCAGCCCCAAGCAGCACCCCATCCAAGGCCTCATACCATAGCATCGGGCTCTGCTTGAGCCCATACAGACTCTTCACCAACTTACAGACACGAGGAGTCCCATCCTCGTAGTAGCTCGGCTGCTCCATGTAAAGGTCTCGGTCCAGCACGCCATGGAGGAACGCGTTCTTCACATCGAGCTGCATCAGGTCCAAATCAAGTGCAGCTGCAATCGCCAGAAGCACACGCGCCGTCACATAGCTTCCCACAGGGGCGTACGTCTCCTCATAGTCCACCCCTGCCACCTGCGTGAACCCCTTCACCACCAGCCTCGCCTTCTCACGCTCCACTATCCCATCAGGTCGGAACTTGGTGTTCAAAATCCAACGGTTCTTCATCACATTCACCCCTGGCGGACGCGGAACCAACTCCCACGTCCCCTGCTCAATCAGGCTCCGCATCTCCTCATCCATCGCCTCCTTCACCTTGTCTCCCTTCCAGCAGCCCAAGGCCTCCTTCACTGTCATTTTCGCTATGTCCCACTGCCTCTCAGGATCAGCTGCCACGTCCGGGTCCAGGTTAGTCCACTCCTTGTCCTCCTCCTCGTCATCCAAGCCCGCTGGCTCAACCACTACAGCCCAAGCGTATCGAACAGGCGGGACACCACGAGTGATGCGAGTGGAGCGACGCAGTGGTGCAGTGGTCGTCCTAGAAACCAACACACGACCACCATCTCTAATTCCCCACATCTCCTGCTCCCCTGTCTGCTGCTCCCCAATCTGCTGCTCCCCTGTCTGCTGCTCCCCTGTCTCCTGCCCCCCACTCTGCTGTACTCCATCCATACTGCTCTCGTCCTGCAGCTGCTCAGTCTCAAGGCGCTGCCCGTCGGTGATCTCCACAGACGGTGGCACCTCCATCCCCCCCTCACCAATGGGCGGCGCCGTGGAAGACGAAGAAGAGGGCGGAGTAGGTGCAGGAGGGATGGAGGGTGGAAGGGGAGATGGAATAACAGGAGGAGGAGGGGAAGCCAAGGGGGGTGAGGAGGAAAAAGGCGGGGCAGGGGGAATCACACGAGGGTAGACTGAAGGCGGAGGTGGGGTGGGGACCGAGGTAGGGACATAGGGCATAG